ACAGAGCCTTGTAGAACTCCATTCGCTGGCTCTCCTTGATCTTCGCACGCGCGGGCGCGGAGTTCACGTAGCACAGCGGCTGTACACGCAGCCCGAAATAGCGGTTCCGCTTGTCGAGTTGCTTCAGCGTAAGCAGCAGACAACGCACGAGCGCCAAACTTGACCTCAGCTTGTGCGAAATTTGCGTCAGGTGGAACAGATTGCGCTGGCTCACCTGCGCCGAGAGTAGCGCGTCGCTGGCGCTGAGCTCGTCCATGATCAGCTGGTTGTGCGCGTTCGGCCACGCCGTCACCGTCGCGCGCGTCCCACGCAGGCGACAGAACGCGCCTGCGCGCGCGTCGTACGCCGGCGACATGTCGGCGCGCGCAAAGTTCACGCTGGTCTGCATGCACTCTGCACAATGCTTCGGCGGCGCTTGAAACACGGATTCGAATAGCGCTTCGTCTACCGAGTGCTTTTTGAATTCTTCGGGATATTCGAACCAAGGCGCGTTTTGCACGAAGTTCTGCAGATCGCGAATCATCTCCAGTTCCGACAGTGGCAGCTCGAACGGCGGCGCGTCGCCGGCAACGGCGGGTGTCGGCCGCAGCGCGAGCACGCGCGAAACCACGTGCGCGGGGTGGAACAGTACGCTGACGGCGCCGCCGTCGGCACCGCGCACCGGCACCAGCTGCGTCTGCTGCGGAAGGCCTGGCGCCGCGCTCTCGTCCGGCGCGGCGTGCTGCAGCACGAACAGGTCGCCGTGCAGCGTGCTGCGCGTGTCTCGCCGACTCAGAAAGCCTTCTGCCCACCACGCGGTGCGGTTCACGCAGATCTTCGTAATGCGCACAATGTGCAACCGCCGCGACAGCAGCATTAATACGAACGCCGTGTCCAGTTGCGCGCGTCGCTGCGCCGGGCGCGCCTTTCGCTGCGGGGCGCGCAGTTGCGCGAGCTTGGCGTTCTCCTGCGCGATCACGCGCAGGCAGCCCGGAATCAAGTAGCGGTCGAACGCGCTCGTGTCGAACAGCGCGCGCAACGCGTCGCGCAACAGCTGAACCACGTGCGACGGGTACGAGAAGTAGTTGATGAAACTCGTGTCCATTTGCTTCAGAAAGCGGTTGATGAAGTTGCTGTGCAGCGGCTGCTGCCGCCGAGAGCCTTGATTCGTCAGTAGCTGCTGCACGCGCTTGAGCTGCAGCAACACCTCGCCGAAGACGTCCGCGATGCGGAGCAGCATGCGGTGCGCGCGCTGCGCCTCGTACAGAAACACCAGCCAGGTCGCGGCGCTCAGCCGTCCGAAGTGCTCCGAGCCGCCGTGCTCGTCGGAGCAGCGCTTGTGCGGCGGCTCCGGCGCGCTGCCGCCGCCGTCGGGCGCGCGCTGCGCCCATTTGAACGACTCCTTGCAGCTGGGGTCTGCGCCGACGACGCTCTCGAGGCATAGAAACGATTCCCACACGCCGGGCGCGTCGCCCTCGAACATGCGCAGCAGGTGCTTCTCGCGCCGGTACGGCGCGAAGGTACGCGTCGTGAAGTTCACGTCGGTGCTCAGGCCGCGCCGCGAGCCGGCAGTCGCGAAAAACTTCAGCAAGTTCAGCATTAGCGAGCTTTCGCTGAAGTGCGCCTCGAAGAACGCCGTCGCCGCGCCCGGCGCGCCGCCCTGCAGTCCGCGCAGTAGCTCGCTCGCGCCGGTCTGCGCGACCGCCTGCGCCAGCAGCATCCACGCGATGTTTGGGTAGCCGCCCTCGCGCGTCGTCGGCAGTCGGCGCGCCTTCAGCCAGTACTTGATGCAGCGCAGTACGTTGCGCAAGTGCTCGTTGCCGCTGAGCGCCTTCGTCAAGTAGCGCGCGTGCAGCAGCGAGTTCGCCGTGTTCACGCTGACGTCGCAGACAATGCCGCACGGCAGCAGCACGTTGATCACCGGCACGCGCGCCGAGTGAATCAAGTTGATCTGCGAGATGCGCAGCCGCGTGTGTTCAATGTGGTCGCGCTGCGGCGTCTCGCAGCTCAGGTAATTGATCAGCTGGTTGAGCACCGCAATCGGCGAGTAGTTCTCGTTTTGAATCACGATGTCGACGTCAGACTGCAGCGTGTCAACGTTGTACGCGGCGGAGCCCACCAAGTACACGCGCGTCGCCTCGCCGAACAAGCTCTGGCTGATGCGCTTGATGCAGCCGTACAGCAGCCGCCGCCGGCGAACCGTCTGCTCCGGCGAGGTGATGCGCAAACTGAAGTCTGCAAACTGCTTCTCCAGCTCGCTGGTGATTGCATGCGGGACGTGGGCTTGGATTAGGTCGATCAGGGTTAGCAACTGCTGAGTTCCGAGCCAATTTTCATTTTCATTTTTTGACATTGAGGAGCCGCGGAACTCATCAACCCGTTCAATGCCGTTTGCATTTTTAATTAATTAATTAGCACTGGCGCCTAGCAGCTTTTTCCTGTGTAACCCGAGCCGCGCCGGTGCTCGTCTTTCCAATCGTCAAACAGTCTTCGGTACTTCTGCATGCAGCGACTCGCAACTTACGGGGCTCTCTTTTTCGGAGTCGCTCTGCGCTCCCGGCGCGCGTGTCGCGTTCGCAACTACCGCTTCTGCGGTGCGCGTCGGCGGGCAGGATCGGACCGCGTCTCGCGGTTCTGCGGGGATCGACGGCGCGCGTGACGGCGCAAAGCGCAGTTCGCTCGCGAGCAGTGCGAGCGTCTCGCAAAGCGCGAATTCCGCCACGGCGTGCACGAAGCTGCGCGCACGCGCGAGTTGCGACAAGTCGGCGCCGCAGAGCAGCATTTCGCGCTCGAGCCTGGCCTCGACCGCGAGCGTTGCCGTGCGCAACGTGCGCGTGAAAGCTGCAGCCGCGGACCCGCCGAGCGACGGCGCGGCGGCGCGGACGAGCGCCGCGAGGCGCGCGAGTTGCGGTGTCGCGTCTTCGAGGTCGCGCAGCAGGCGCAGCAGCGACTCCGCGACGCCGCGCAACGCGTCCGGCTCGGACTGCGGCGCGCGAGCCGCGACCGCCGGCAGCAGCGCGCGCTGCGGGTATCTGCAGCGCCAGACGGCCGAGTAGAATGCGCTGAGCGCTGCGTCGAGCTCGTTCAGGTCGTCGGCCGCCACGGCGCCGCCGTGCGAAGCGCTGCGCAGCCGCTCGCGCAAACACTGCGCCCACTCTTCTTCAGAGAGCGCGTCGAACTGCCGGAATTGCGTGAGCAGTGCCGGCGAGCGCAGGCGCAGCGAGTAGTGCGCAAGCCATTTGTGAAGCAGCAGCGCCATTGCTCTTCGCGGCGTCTACTCGAACACGGCGCACTCGTCAATTGCGTGGATAAAATTATTATCCGCTTCGTCTTTTTCCTGGCAACGGCGCTCGGCGCGGTTCCAAACACACGGCTGCAACTGTTCCACCTCGGCGAACTCTTGCAGGCAGGTCGTGCAGTAGGTCCGCATCTTGCAGGTTACGTCGGCGATTTTCCGCACGAACTGGCCGTCGCAGCGCTCGAACAGGTTCAAACAGTACCAGTTCTCTGTCGCATTGTCGCGGCAGATGCCGCGACAGGTGAACTCTTCTGTGGAGCGCAGCCGCAGGCAGTCGGTGACGTCGACGACGTCTGCGCAGTCGAAGCGCGTGGGCGCCATCGAGTCGCCTAGCGGACAGAACTTCATCGCTTTGCTAACACATTGCTGGCTTTCTGCGCACCAGCCGCCGCACTCATTGGCTATGGTCTACTGGCGGCGGCGCGCGCTTACGCTGATTTTGCACGTAACTTCGTTCAGTTTGTAGCAGATATCGTTCGCGGGCGCTTCCAGAGGCGCCAATGCGTTCGCGGCAAAGCCTGGCATCGTGTTTTTCGAAGTGCGAATGTGTGCGGACAGCGTGTGACCTCCCACCAAGCCGCCTTAGCTCAGTCGGTAGAGCGCAAGACTCTTAATCTTGCAGTCGCGGGTTCGAGCCCCGCAGGCGGTTTTTTTTTGCGACTGGGAACCTGCGGTGCAACTCACAAAGCGCTGGCGAGATGCACACGTTGCAAGCACGGTCACGTGGCCTAATGGCTATGGCACTGGTCTTCGGAACCAGAAGTTGGGGGTTCGAGTCCCTCCGTGATCTTTCTTATTATCGAAGAAGCCGCATGCGGCAAAAATGGACGACCTGGGTATCGATCCCAGTACCTCTCGCATGCTAAGCGAGCGCTCTACCATTTGAGCTAGACGCCCAAAATCAAAAGCGACGCACCAGGCGGCCGCGCGCGCCAGGCGACCAGTCTACTCGGTCAGGTCTATATGACAAGTCTAGACGAGGAGGTCCGCCTGGTCGACGAGCTGCAACTCGTGCACGTAGAAAGGGAACATTCCGCGGGCCGGACGGTACTCGGGCATCAAGGTCACGGCTACCGCGAACGTGAAGCTCGACGGCCCCCAACCCAGCCGGTCTAAGCTCGCGCGGAGCACACTTACGGTAGAACTCGTTGTCGCGAAACGCGCGCGCCTTGATCGTGAAAATGAAGCAAGGCAGCTTCGCGCGAGCGTCGTCGGACTCCAGCACGTCCTCCGGCTGCTGGAACACGCAGCGCTGCCACTCGACTTCGAGTGGCTGCGGGTCGAGCAGCAGCCGCTCGCGCTTCGTCGGGTCGTTGAGCACAGTCGCGCCGACGCTGTCCAGCGAGTCGAGCGAGCGCTGCGCAATCGTTGAGGCGTGCGCCTTCAGCCAAGCGTCGGCCGCGGCCGCCGCGGCCACGCTAGGCGCAGTGTGCACGACATTGACACAGCGGAACAGCGCGGGCACAAACTCGCGCTCGAACTGCGACAACATCGCAGCGACGTCGAGGCGCTTCCGCTCGTCGAGTCGTGCGTAGAACCGCACGGTGTCCCGGTTGTTCAGCAGCTTCGAGCGCTGCTGCAGAAAGCTTGGCAGCGCAGCAGACAGTCTGCTGCGCGCGGCGCCCGCGAGCGACGCTGCGCCAGACTGCGGCACGAAGAACGGCTTCGGCGCGGCGCTCGTGTGAACCGCGAGCAGCGCAGCCGGCGGTTCGCGCGCGTCTGTCACCAGCCGGTGGTGCAGCTTGCGCAGCGGCAAAACTGTGCGCGCGTACAGCGCGGTGAGCGCCGCGTTGAAGCGGTCGTTCAGCCGCAGACGTGGCCGCGACAGCCGGCGTGCGCGCGGCGCCGTGGCTTGCAGCGCCTTCGGCTGCAGCGCGTTGTAGGCCGCTGCGTAGCGTTGCGGCGCGTAGTTGAGCAACGGCATCAGTTTCCCAACGGCGCGCCACGGTCTAGGCGGATTTGTTATATTGAAAGAAATTCTCTATTTTGCGCTGCGCAAGCGCGATCGCAGGCTGCAGCTCGCTTTCGCTGTTGTTCGGCAGGTACACCACCTTGTCCTCCAGCGCCGCTGGAACGCCCATGCTTTGCTGAATTTTCCAAATGCGCTCGAACAGCTCTTCGCTCAGCCGCCGCGCCTGCATTGCGCGGCGCTTGCACGTATCCTTCTCGGCCTGCACCATGAAGACCACGTCGAAGTGCTCCGCCCAGCCTGCTGAGAACAGCACTGCAGCCTCGAACAAAATTACTTCGTCGGAGTGCGCCGCGACGAAGCGCTCGAACGCGCGCCACATGTGTGGCCATACTGTCGCGTTCAGCCGCGCGAGCTGCGCGGGGTCCGCGAACACGATGCGTCCGAGCGCCGCGCGATCGACTACTCCATTTTGAATGATGTGCGACCCGAAGAGCTCCGCGAGTTGCGCCTGCAGCGCGCGGTCTTCCGCGTACAGCGCGTGACACAGCGCGTCAGCCTGGACGCAGCTGGCGCGCACGGAGTTTTGTCGCAATTTCTCGAGCACCTGTCGAAAAATGGTACTCTTTCCCGCAGAAATGGTCCCGGCGATCGCGAAAAGCATTCTTCACAAGCTGGCGGCGTTGTTCACGTTCGCCCAGATTAGAAAATTGAATTAACCAATTAGTATTGTTCGCCCTTTATGCGCCGTGTGTGAAAATCGCCGGCAACGCGCTTGCATGCTGCTGGACTGCACCACATCAATTTATCCATGGCCGTTTCAGTTGAGTCGATCTTCTACCACGTAGGCAAGCTCTGCGGCTTCGCCCTGTCTAGCGGCTGCGGGCTGGCCGTCGGCTGCGTAAAGGGCTGCGCCGAAGGCCACCCGAGCCGCGCGCGCACGCACCTATCCGCGGAGCGCGCACAAGTAACAGGCGTTATCTAGGTCGTACACTTTCTGGCGCCGCGCGCCGCGCAGCTGCTGCAACGCGACTGCGAAGCTTTCGCCCTCGGCGCTCCGCTGCGTCATCGCAAGCAGCTCGCCCCGCGAGGCCCAGACACAGTCGAACTTCTTCATCTTCCAGTAAGTCTGCAGCGCGCGGAAGAACGAATTGTGTCCGACGAGCAGCAAAACGTCCGCGTCGAGACTGAGCAGCCAGTCGTCAAGCTGCGCTATGCGCCTACGAGCCGCCGCGTGGCACTTACCGGTACAGGTCGTCGAGCGGCTCGACGTCGCACTGGCGCTGCTTGCGCGTCAGGTCGATCGTGAGCAGGTTCTGGATGTGCAGCCGCTGGTGTAGCTTCACGCTGGCCGCCGCGGGCGGCTTTGCGACTTCCACCGGCGTGATGAACTCCTCGAGGTAGCGCGTCGCTGTCTCGCAGCTGTACAGCGAGTTGTCCGCGCTGGTGGTCACGCGCTCGCGCAGAAACGGCACCACGTAGAGCCGCGGCTGCAGCGGACCCTGTGGCGCGCCCCGCGCCTCCGAAAGGCTCCACTTCGGCAGCTTTCGCGCCGTCTCGATGTCTCTGAACGCCGCGCCTTCGAGCTCTTCCGCAGACCCGAGTCTGCGCGGGCTCTGCAGCCGCGACGGCGAGTCGCACGACGCGCTGCACGAGCGGCTGCTTGCCGAGTCGTTGGGCGTTTCGCGCGGCGCGTCGTCCGCCGCGGCGCGCTGCTCGAAGCTCTCGCGTAGCAGCTGACTCAGCCGGCGCGTAGTGCACGGCGCGCTGTCCGAAGGGGCACGCGCGGCGGCCGACTGATTGCCGCTGAGGTCGAAGTGGCTCAGCGAGAACGAGCGGCGCATGTTGGCGATCGCTTTGTGGTCGGCGTGCCAATTCGTCGAGCGCCGCGAAATCGAGTACATCAGCGACTTGCACGTCTCGAGCGCACGGCGCAGCGGCGACACGCCGATGATGTCGATCGGCGGAATCTTCGCGTCGTTGATGTCGCCCGCGAGCAGCAGCGCCGCCAGAAACACCTGGCACCGCCCGAGCTGCGTGAGACACGCGTCGTCACAGCCGGGGTCGATCAGCCGCGACAGCTTCGGCCGCAGCGTCTTCAGCCAGCTGCTCTTGAAAATTTTCCGCTGCGCATTGTGTTCCGACTCGCCGTGGCGAAACAGGATGACAAACTTCGGCTTGCCGCTCATGCCATGCAAACGGCGCGCTGTATGCGTTGAGTACACGAACAACACATTTTAACAGAAAAACAAATTGGCCGGCTCTACGCGAGGCGTGCGGGTATCATTGAATCTATGACTACGTAGACGCAGCAGCTCTGCGGCCGCGCGCGGTCGCCTACTCGGTGTCACACGAGTCGGACTTGTCCTCCTTGCTGTCGCTGCCGTCGCCGTCGCTGTGTTCGCAGTCGCTGTCCTCGCAGTAACTGTCGTCGTCGTCGCTCGACTCCCACTGCACCTCGTCGAGCAGCGTCTCCGGGTGCGGGTACAGCTCGCGACGGAACACGTCGCCAAACATGCCGGCCTCTTCCTCGTCGAGCGTGCTGAACCAGCCCGCCACTGAGTAGACCTTGTCGTCTTCGTAGCCGTCTGCGTCCTCGCCCTTCTCCTTTTCGAGCTCCTCTTTGTAGAGCTGGATCGCGACGCGCGGATCGATCTCCTCGCTGGCGAAGGTAATCTCCGTGCAGCTCGACTTCTCGGTCAAAATTTCGCCCTCGTCGTCGAGGTACACCGTTTTCTTCCACACAGTCGGCGTGAAAATCGCGCTGGCCTCCGGCGCGAAGCTGAACTCCAGCGAGTACGAGCCGTTATCGTCAATCAAGTCGTTCAACTGCACGTACTTCAGCATCGGCACCAAGTAGTTCGCCTCGGACGGCATGATTAAGCACTGCTCGTTCAGCGTCGGGTGGATCGTGATGAGTTTGCCCCACACGCAGCCGTGCTCCGCAATGACTTTGTCGCGGCGCTCGTAAATGGGCTTCAGCTGCGGCATGAACTTCTTCTGCACTTTCAGCTGCTCGCGTGCAATCTTCATCTCGATTTCGTCGAGCTCTTGCGCAAACGGCTCGAGCTCCTGGCGGATGCGACAAATCTCTTCGCAGGTCTCCACAAGAGCCTTCTGCTCGTCTTCGATTTTGCGCTTCTTCTCGGCCGCCGCGTCCGTGTTGCTGCCCTCGCGCTTCTTGCTGTCCATTGTCAAATTAATAAATAATTAACTCAAAACAGTTTTTTCGAAGGAGTCGGTCTTTTGACTCGATTCGTCCCCCGTGTCGCAAGCCGCTTCTCCTACGCCGTATGACGCGCCGCTCGACGCGGCGCGCGTCGTTCTGCCCGAGTATTCGAGCGAGGCCGTGTGCGACTCACCCGCCGCAACGCGGCTGCTTTTGCAGTTCGTCGCGCAAACCGTGAGCGAAGGCTTTGTGAGCGCCGCGGCGTACGAGCGGTTTTCGTATCTCTTCTCCAGTCTTTGTTCTGCGCCAAACGCTAAGCTCGCGCGCGCCTTCGCCGTCCTGGCCTATGTATATGACAGGTTGTGCCCCGTGCGTAGCGACTTCGCGCTGCCAACCGAGTATGTCGTCCTGCGCAAACTACTGAATTTCGTGTTGGCGCCAGATGTTTTCGATGCCACTGTCTCCGTTTCGCTCGCGGACAGCGGCTTCGCTGAGCGCGTGAGCAGTTGCAAGGCACTCTCGCTGCTGGTAGACTGGCTGCGTTTGTTCGTCCATACGCCGGCGCCACTGCCCGAAGCCGTGTTGCAGCGCGTCGAAACTTTTGCCGCTGAGCGTCTCAGTAGTTTCCCCGTTCTGCGCTTCCGACTTTGGTGCTTCGTAGCGGCGCGGCGCTTCGTAGACCGCGGCTGCGCGCCTGACTGGACTGTGCTAACGCTCGACGATGTTCCCGTTCTGTCACAAGAAGAGCGGTTCATCGCGTTATTCGCCGACCAGATAGCCGAGCCCCTTTTGGCGTTGCATGAAGAGAACTGCATATACACCCCGTTGCAGTGCGAAGCGCTCTCTAGCTGCGCGTGCTTTCTCGTTCAGTCGTCCCGATCGCTTGTTGCTCGTGCAGCTGACATTGTACTTCGCTACGTGCATAGTCAGCCTAAAAACTGCCTGCTGCACCGCGCTATGGTTGATGTGCTCCAAATAAACGCTGCCTTCTCGGCAGGACACGCATTCGATCATGTTTTGCCTTTTGAGCAGCTGAAGCTGCACTGCGGCGTGGAACGCGACTCGCAGTACTTCGCCCATTTCGCCACCGCTGTTCTCAGCAGCGCGGAAACTTTTGATCACTCGCTACTAGAGTTCTGTGTCGAGTACTTACGCCAGTGTGTACGCGACTTGAACTCGCTGAGCCCGACGTTTCTTAAACGCGTCTGCGCGTATCTTGTGGAGCTCGCTACTACGCAGCAGCTCGTTTTCAGCCAGGACTGCGTGTTTTTGCATTACTGTTTGCTTTTTCTTTGCTTTTTCGCAGATAGCCGCACGGTTAGGTTCACAGCGTTTAGCACGATCCAGATATTCGTTGGTCACAAACTGTTAGGCTCTGGGCCGACGGCCGCTTGCTTAATTTCGCGTAGTGAGTGGAAGCTGTTGGCGCTGTGTCGTTACTCTAGCACGGCGCTCTGTGCAGCAGCCCTTCAGAGCCTATTTTCTGGATTGGAGTTTTCCTTTCTGCGCGCGTGCGCTGTGCTGCGTCAAGCAAAAAATTTTGCTCAGCAGCCGGGCTTTCAGTTCAGGCCCGAATTGCAGTCTGTGCTACGGCACATCTACTGCGACTTGCGGCTTCCTGAAAACTGTGAGTCATGCGACGAACGTGCGGACATAATGCTCAAGTTAGGCTGCGCGTTGCGCAGCGACGCGTGGATAGACGGCGAGGCAGATTTTGTTTCTTGGTTGTGTAACCACTTCTCAAGGACACTTCGCACGTCTCGGGCTAAATGCGCCGCATACACTCGGCTTGATCACTGCCCGCGTGGCGTCACCTGCTGCCTTCTTGCAGCGCTTGTGCACCGCATTGGCAAATCTGGCAAAGCGATTGTAACTGGGTTAAGCGTGTCGCTCTGGTCTGAGATTACAGCCCATAGGTGTGCGTTGTCATTGTTTGCAACGCACTTGCTGTTAGATGCGCTAGCAGAGAATGCTGAAAGCCATGCCGAGGTGCAGTGCAAGATTCCTGAAGATCTGGACTCATATCTTAGCTCATTTTGCTGCATTGAAAAACGGTGCGATGATAGCTTTGAAACGTTTGGCAAAAATCTTAGTATGTTGTTCTGTGAAAGCGAAAGCAACTGCGGAGCAGCAATCAGCATTGCAGCGTGCGGGAAGCAAATTTGTGCTTTGCTTGCATTCGCCGCTCGCTGCGCGGTGGACAACCAGGTGGACGACTTTGCTCTTCGCTTGACGCAGCTCGCTCACAGTGGCGCCGTGACTTGCTGTCGTATACCTACGCTTGTGCTCTATTTGGATCTTTTGTGCTGTGCGGCTCGTCGCGTGTCACCGCGCGTGCGTACTATTATCGAGAACGTCTACGCGACGTTTGCGTACTCCGATTTTCGCGTTATCAGGTTTGCTGCGGCGCTAGCGCAGCGGCGAAGTGCAGCGATGTCTGCTGGCTGGTTCGGTGAAGCGCTTTTTCAGCTGTCCACTGGCTCTGTTCTACGGAAAACAGAATGCTTTGTTAGTAGTTTAGCTTTGCGATCGCAAATGTTCTATAGAAAACTTGATTTTTTCTCCCTGACTAACTCGATTACCGATGAGCATGTTTACGGAGACGCTGATGATGCTATCCGCGAAGAATATTTTGCTGTCAATCAATGTTTCCAGGCCTCAGAGCATCACCAGCAACTTACGCGCGAGCTTCTCCATCACCCGGAATGCTTGCAAATCTTAGTTACTTGTTTGCTTAGTTCGCGTTCTCACGTTGTATGCGATGCTCTGCAGTTGATATGCGACTTGGCTGAGACAGATGCTGCGTCGCTACGCGATCTACTAAATGCATTCTACGCGCTCAGCGTGACCAGCGCTCGCGCATCGCGCGCTTTGGAACGGTTGCTAGAAACGCTTTGCTACGGAAGTTTGCGAGCAAGTATCGCACCTGATATTGACAGCAACGTCAACTACGCTTTACGGCTTGCGGAAGGGCGTTACGTTGAGAACCTGATTTACGTGCTTCGATGCGGCACGGTTTCACCTCATTTTGCGAAGTTACACACTTTGTATAGAGAAAAACTAGCTACTATTTTGTCTGTTGAAGTCAGGCTTTAGCTCTGGCATCACGATATGCAACAGAAAAATATAGGTTCATTGACTTCTGCGGATGTTACGTTCTGTGCAGCGATCTGCGTTTTTTGTACTGCTGATCAAGCGGAAGTGCGCTGCTACTTGCAAAAAGGTTTGAGCTCAGACAGTATTTCCGTGAAGCCTCTCGCCTCACAGCGCTCGAACAACCGGTGCGCGAGTCGTTTCATAAGATCTGCTGTGCTCGGCGCGAGTTGCAATGCAGTCAGGTTTTTGATTTTCAGTGTCGCGTTCACGAACTCTTCAGCCACGTGCAAGTCGTTGAAACCTTCAGAGGGCCACTGCGAAAGCTTTTCTTCAAGGCGCTGGATGCGCTTAATACGATCCGGATGGTTTAAGCTCGCCGACAAATCGAATTCACTGCAAGGGAAGTTTGCGAGCATTGAACGCATCTGCGGATTTGCCTGGCTGACGATCGATGCGGCGCACGGAAATCTGCTACTGAGCGCGTAAGAAACGACGTCCGCCGGTAGTTTCTTTAAGCAAAAGTCCACGCAGTCTGTGTTATTGCTTTGCACCGCGTTCAGCAGCACGTTGTTTCTGTCGCGGTCTTCAACGCCAATGAGCACATCTGGGTGGATGCGGTTTAGGTACTCGTTGAGTACGCCTAGCACGCCGCTTTCAGAACTTGCAGAAGCGACCAATATCATGGCGGGCAGCTCAGTGTGCGCGCTGGCGTGCAGCTCGTGAGTCAAAAAGTGGTCTGGGAAGCGGCGCACTGCACCGGCAATGTCGTTGAGTTCACACGCGAGCAGCATCGAGAGAAGCACGCTGCCTACAGCGCTCAGCCGCATGAAGCAGTCGTTGTAAGGAATGCTGCAGTTGAACTGGCGTTTGCAGAAGCCCATGCAGCTAATCAGAGCTTGCTGCAGCACCGACACGTTGCGCTTGTCTAGCGTCCACAGCGAACAGCCCGCTTTGAACAAGAATATGGCCGCGTCGTCTGAGTTGGTGGCAGCAGCGATGTGGAACGGCGTGCAGCCATCTTTGTCTTGCAACGCGTCGAAATCTACTGAAATGCCCTGCAAGTACTCAAGCACGTCGACGCGGTTGCATGCGGCGGCGAAGTGGGCGACGGTACGGCGGTTCGCGTCGCGTAGCGTCGCGACGAACTCGTGCGTCTCTCCGTTGTGCGCCTGCAGCGCGCGCTGTAAATCTGCGCGCGTCTCTGTTGCCGCGTTCAACAGCTGCTCGGTGAGCGCGCGGTTTTTTTCAAATTCGTGCGGCGCGTTCATAGCAGAAAATCGAATTCGCTATTTGCGATGTTCGCCAAAATTTAGAATTAAAGTGTGAGACGGCAAAAAACTTGGAAAAAGGAGAGAATCAAATTCGTGAGGAGGGCGAGATGCTTCCTGCGGACGAGGCACGCTACGTCGTGCAAGTGAACGGTGAGTGGCGCGCGGCGGCGAGCAGACATGCGCAGCAAACTTGAAAATGTTCTGAGCGACAAAGAAAAGTTCTTGAAGAGCGCGCGGCGCAGCTTCAAGCAGTTCGACTCCAGCAACAGCGGCATTCTGTCGTACGAAGAAATTCGCGCGTTGATCTCGCGGCTGATCCACAATTTATGTTTGCCGCCGATCGAAGACAGCGTGCTGCACGAGATCATTCAGAAGTTCAGCAACATGGACGACTGCAGACTGGACGAAGTTCAGTTCTGCCTAATGGTAGGTTTCGATGCGCCTAACGCAGTTTTGGCAAATGCTGATGCGCGTAAAGTCGCGCTGCTATCCGATCGCGCAGATTGGCGCGCAGCGCTCTTCGTTCGTGAACGTCAAGGCGATTGGGTTTGGCCAAATCAAGAGTAGGTGGCGCCGAGCAGCACGCAGAACTGCTGAAGTTCGTGAAGAAGCTCGGCAGCGGCTCTTTCGGCGACGTGTACTTGATTGTCGAGCGGCTGAGCGGGCTGCAGCGCTGCTGCAAAGTCATCGACAAGTCGAACGCCACGCTGCCGGTCGAGCAGATCCGCAGCGAGGTGCGGCTGTTGCGCACGCTCGACCACCCGCACATAATTAAGATCATTGACGTCTACGAGGACTACCAGAACCTGTACATTATCCAGGACATGTGCACCGGCGGCGAGCTTTCGCGGCGCGTCAAGTCTGCGGCGGAGAAGCAGAAAATTCTGACGGAGAGTTACGTCAAAGAGATCATGCAGCAGGCGCTGCGCGCGATTTGCTACATTCACGACCGCAACATTGCACACAAAGACTTGAAGCCGGACAACATTCTCTTCGCGGACAAAGATCTGCACAGCAGCATCAAAATCATTGACTTCGGGCTTTCGGAACGCTTCAACCCGAGTTGCCCCGTCAGCCAGAACGCGGCGGGAACGATTCTGTTCATGGCTCCGGAGCTGTTCCACAAGCAGGTGACGGTGAAGTGCGACATTTGGTCGCTCGGTTGTCTGATGTACTACTTGCTGACAAACCGGCACCCGTTCACGGGCCGCACGCACGCAGAAATCAAGAACTGCATAATGCGCAAAGAACCCAGCTTTTCGTACTATCGGCATCTCTCGGTGCGTGCTGTGAACTTGATGACGATGATGCTCACCAAGAACCCCGCGCGCCGCCCTTCGGCGCGCGACCTGCTCGGCCACTCGTGGTTCGAACTTTCGGACAGGCTGCCGACAGAAGCGATTCCGAAATCGATGATGACTACGTTGATCAACTTTTCGAAATTCTCGCCCGTCAAAACGGCGATCATCAACTTGGTCGCGCACCAGCAAAGCTTCAGCACGCAGCGCACGCACGAAATCGAGCAGTGGTTTAAGAAGCTGGACAACGACTTCCGCGGCACCATCAAGCGCGAAGTCTTCATCAACACGCTCGTACACAACAACCTCTCTTTTTGGGAGGCGAACAAAGTTATGCAGACGGTGGACATTGACAATGGCGGCACGATCAGTTACACCGAATTCCTCGCAGCCACCGTGATGTGGACCAAGAAGGACTTGAACCTGCTTTGGGCGAGTTTCCGCAAACTCGACCGCGAGAACAACGGCGAAGTCTCGCCGAAGGAAATTGTCGAGCAGCTCTTCGGCATTGACATAAATGATCCAGTGATCCGCTCGGGCGTCAAGGAACTCGCGCCGAACGGCGAGGAGACCATCAACTGGCAGCAGTTCTACGCGTACATGACGAACAACGCAAAACCGCACAAGAAGGTCTGAACTAACGCGGCAAGAGCGAGCAGTAGCAGTGCTTGCCTGGATGCGCGCGCGTGGCACTTACTGCGCGCGACGCGAATCCCTTTGCTGCGCTCGGCGAGCTGCGCGGGCGGATTCAGCGCGGGCGGCTTCTGCGTGGCGTCTGCGCGCGTCGCGCCGCCGAACAGCAACGCGGCGAGCAGAAGGCGAGGCGCGAACATGTTAAAGCAAAAATATTTTGCGACTCTCCCGCGCGCTTCTGCGGCGTGCTCAGTCTTCGTCGAGGTGTTTGAGCCAGTTGAACGGGCAGGTGCTCGCGAGCTGCGAGTCGAACGCGGCGAAGTGCGCGTGAACGAGCTCGATCCAGCGCTCGTCGTCTGTCGCCAGCAACTGCGCGGCGTCGAAGACCGCGGCGCCGAAGCGTGGCGGCGCGCGCCGCGTCGCGCGGAGCAACATGCGCCAGACGCGGTGAAGGCTCTCGGCGACGCGGTCGCGGCTCACTTGAATTTTTAAGATATAGTCAAAGCTATTGTGGAAAGAATCGACGTAGTTCAGCGCCGCTTCGTAGGTTGCGGCGTCTTCCGAGCAAATTTTCGCTTTCACGTCGCTCTGCATCCAGAACTCGACGTACGGGTAGATAAACGCTTCGAAGGTCAGGCTGTGCCGCTTGTAGAAGCGCGCCGCGGCCGCGCTGCCGTGGCAGGAGCTGTCCACGACGGTGCAGAGCGCATGGCAGAGCGCGACGAGACTCACGCTAAATTGCCGCAGTACCGCGCGCTCGAGCGCGTCGAGCAGGTGCGCTCGGCGCCACCCCGCGAAAGCGGCACACGAGAGCGGCTGCGCTGCCGCGGCTGCCTGCGTGACGCGGCGCAGCCAGGCGTCGAGAGGCGCTGCGTCGTCGCCGAAGAGCAGCGCTGCGACGGCGTCGCGCGACTCAAGCGGCGGGTCGAGTAGCGCGCGCGGCGGCAGCGCCGCGTACAGCTCGTGCAGCAGGTCGTCGCAGCCGAACTTCGTCAGCGCGACCGCTTTCACGAGCAGCGCCTGCGCAGCCGCAAATTCGCTGTCGGCAGCGTTCGGTGCCGCGGCAACCGCTGCGTCGTCCGCTGCGTCGTCCGCTGCGTCGTTAGCTGGAGGCGGCGCTAGCAGCAAGGCGAAGTTCTCGCGCGGCGCGCTCGAGAGATCTGCGAGTTGTAGCTCGAACGCGCGCAGCGCGAAAAGCAGCTGCGCCAGGAAGTGGATTTGCTCGAGCACGCGGCGATCCAGCCGCCAGCGCTCAGCGCAGTGTGAGCGACCAGCGGCGCCGGGTGGCGTCGCTGCGCGCGGGTCGAAGTGAAACGCGGCAGCGAGCCGCGCGTCTGTGGCAAGGTAGTTGCAGAAGCACGCGCCGCTCGCGGCGCGCGGCGACGGCGCGGCGGGCTGTGCGAACGCGAATTCGAGCGTCAGTTCTCTGACGCCCGTGGCGAGTCCGTCGAGCGCCGCGGCGTCCACGGCGCGGAGCTCGCGCGCGGCGTGCTGCGCGACGTGCTTGACCGCTTGCGCGGACAGTTGCGTCAGGAACCACATGACGCCGTAGGCCGCGAAGTCCGGCAGGCTGTCCGCCGCGGCGTGCAGCTCGTCGAAGTGGCGCAGGCTGCGCCGCAGCGCCGCCAGGGCTGCGCTTGTCACGGGCGCGGCGGCCGTTTTCTGCACTAGCGCCACGACCAGCGCATCGCGCTCTTGCGCAAAAAGCTTTCTACGCGCGGCGGCCGCGACGAGCGGCTGTTGCACGTCGAGTTCGCGTTCCAAATACGCGCAGACGGCGCCGATGTCCGGCAGCGCGTGCAGCGCGGCGTACAGCGGCTCGAGCACGCGCGCGTTGAGCAGCGCCGCGCAGCGGCCGGCGTCGAGCAGCTCGAGCGCGGCCAGCGCGTCGCGGACTTGCGCGGGCGTTGCGCGCGCGTCCGCTTCGAGAGCGGCGCAGGCTGCCTCTAGCAGCTGCGGCTCGCGCGGCACGGCGGGCGGACGCAGGCTAGCCAGCAGCTTGTAGATCTCGTGGTACTCGAAGTGCCAGCCGCTGAGCAACAGGCTCGCGAGCGGCGTGAGCGCGAGGGCGCGGACTGACGCGCGCTGCGTGTTCACGGCGCTCGCCCCGGCGTTCCAGACGTCGGCGACGGCGGCGAGCGCGTCGCGCTTCTTTTCGAGAGCCGCGGCGGCGGCGAGCGAGCCGCTGTTCGGCGGCGTCGCCGCCGCGAGCGCGAATTGGTCGAGCTCTTTAGCGGTGACCAGCTGCTCGACCACGTTCTGCTTCGCCTCCAGCAACTGCGCGAGCGCGGCGTCCCAGCTGTCTGCGGGCGTGCGGTCCGAGAGTGCGCAGTGCGCGCCCGCGCGGTCCGCAGCCGTCGCCGCGCGCAGCAGCGCTTCGCTGCGCCGCACGGCCGTCGCGAGTTCGCGGCGCAGTTGCGCCACGCGCGCGGAGAGCAGCGCGCGGTTGCGGTCGAACTCGCCGATCTCGGCAACGAGCCGCGCGCGAAAGGCTAGCAAGTCGGACGCGGAGCGAATGGCCGCGATCGGATTCAGCGAATTAAAATAATGGATTTAGAAAACGCAGCCGCAGCGCGACGGCGGCGGCGCCTAGTTGATCGTGATGCCGAGTTTGGTGCGGCGCCAGTTGCGGCGCTTGTAGTTCCAGCGAATGGGGTTCTTCGGCATGGCGCGCACGAAGTACGGCAGCGCGCGGTTCTGGCGCTGCTTCTTCGCCAGCTTCTTCTTGAGGGCCAAACTTTTGATGGAACCCATGATGCTTAAAATTCGAATTCTTTAAATAAGACAGAACGCCATTTGCGCGAGTCGAAACGCAGGCGCGCTGACGGGCCGCGGTCTGCTTCGACGCGCTGAGCATGGTTTCGCTGCGAGCGCGCGTGCGCCAGGCGCGGCCGCACATCGACCAATACGAGTTCCAAGACGCGCCCGACGCGTTCTACAACGAGGACGCCTGGCGCGAAGACGAACACGACAGCGACTGGAGCTTTCACTCGAGCTCCGCCGAGTCGAGCTCCGCGGAGAGCGGGAGCGAGCTCGCGTTGAGCGAGTCTAGTTCGGAGGCGGACGCAGAGGCGGACGCAGAGGCGGAGGCGAGCGCCGCCGCCGCGGACGCGGCGGAGCGCCGGCGGCTGCGCAAGTTCGACTACGAAAAGGTCGTGCGACGCAACTTGCAGCGCAGTCGCGCGAGCACGCGCGAGTGGAGCGTCAAGGCGCAGCCGATCGCGCTCGCGAACGGCGTGCTTGCCGACCAGGCGTACATGCTGCGCCAGGCGCGAGAGAACGAGCGCGCGAACCGCGAGCGGCTCGCGCAGTACCAGCGCGAGATCAGCGACGCGAACCAGCGCGCGATGCTCGAGCGCGCGAGCCAGGCGATGCAACAGCCCTTCGCGCGGCGCTTCGTGAGTTACGTGGACGCCGCAGACGGTCGCGCGCGCGAGCGCGAATTCATTATATTCAATTCGGAAAAATCGGGACCCGGCCGCGAGTGAACGAGCCGGACTCGTGGGCGAGCGCAGCGCAATGCAGAGCCTCGGGAAGCGCGCAAGCGCGCGCGCGAAAGGCTTCGAGTGCGGCAACTGCCGCGGCGCCGCGACCGTCGTGTACGACAACCACTCGGGCGACCAGATTTGCACGGGCTGCGGGCAAGTGCTGCAGGAGCGCACGGTGTGCGAGGAGCAGGAGTGGCGGAACTTCAGCTCGAAGGACGGGATCAAGGCCGCGGACCGCAGCCGCGTCGGCGCGGCGAACGACGACTGGCTGGACGACGTGGTCGGCGGCACCGCCATCGCGACGGCGAACGCGAAGTTCAAGGGCCTGGTGACCACGCAGAGCGCAATCAGCGGCGCCTCGCAGAACGACCGGCAGCTGAAGGCCGCGTTCGCGAAGCTGAACGCGATTGCGGACCACATCAACCTCAACTGCCGGCTGGTCGAGCGCTGCAAGGAGCTGCTGAAGGACATTCAGCTGTCCGAGAAGGTCAGCATGCGCGGCGGCGTCGCGGCGATCATGGGCCTGATCTACTTCGCGGCGCGCGAGGAGCGCAAGACGGTCCGCACGGACCTGCTGCAGAGCTACGACCGCTCGGTCGACGAGCGCGAAATTCTGCGCTACGCGCAGAAGTTCAAAAAGACGGTCGCGCAGATCGCGCCGCAGGCGCAGAGCAAGGGCCTGCTCTCTTCGCAAACGGTGCTGAACGCCGTGGCGCAGCTGCAGCTCTGCGGCGAGCTGAAAGAGCTCTGTTGCGCGATCGCGGCGAACATCGACACGCGGCAACTCGCGCCCGAGGCAAAGCCGCAGCACGTCGCGGCAGTCGCGATCTTTTTGGGCTGCCAGTTGTGTTGCGTGAACGTCACGAAAATGAACCTGCTGCTCGCGACTCAGTGCGGCATCTCGACGTTTCTGCAGACGTACAAGACCGTGCTGCCGCACGCGAAGGAAGTGCTGCCTTCCAACT